TAATAGCAGTTTCCTTCCTAACCTTTTATTTGAAGTTGTGTGGAATGTCAGCATCTTGATTATGTCATTAATTTCTTGTTGAGTTATATGTGCTATCCATTTTAGTTGTTGCTGCTGTTGAATGCCTTCAAGTGATGTGCTTTCTGTTATTTGATACAGTTCTTTATTTGTGATTCTGTAGTGCCAACCCACAAGGTTCAAAGGATGGTTTTTGCTACGACCCACTACCTTCACTTGATTAAAGACATTTTTAACCATTGGTTTTAGAAAGCAGTTGTATACAGCTGACAGTTTAGATATTTCTGAACAGGTTTGGCACCATGCAGGACATCCATATGAAAGTCTCAATCTGATGAGGCTATTTAAGAACATGACTTAAGTTTTCAGGTTAATGTTTTTTTAATAATTAGCAGTGTTGGGTTGAACTACCTCTAGCACAGTCTATTCTTTATTCAATTTCCTTATCTCCTATACTAAATTTGTTATAACTGATCCATACACCAAGGCAAGGTCTTATTATTTTACAGCAATGATCTTTTACTACATACCGCTATTCCTATGTTTAATTTTTTTTTTTTTACCTTTGTGCAAACAATTTATTTTTAGTATTTTTTCATATTAATGAGTTCATAAAACCTTCAATAATCAGTAATCTTTAGAACCAACAAGTTCCTTTTTTATTTTTTTTTTTCAAGTCTGACAAAAAATGTCTCAGTTATTATATAAAAAAACAATTGGGATGATAAACATATTTGGAATATCCCATTATGACTGAAAGGGTTAAATTTGTAGATTACTATAATTTAATATGCAATCTATTATATATGAGAATTTGATATTGAATAGGTTGTTGATAATAAAATGGAATAGTCCTTAAAATTGACTTTACTTTCCACTTTTGAAACCTGAGCAATATTTTCATTTTGTTGGTTATGGCAGCCATTTTAGTATTGTTTGCTTCCAAAAACATCAATCTTAGAAATCCTCACTTTTTTTTTTTTTTGATTCAAACATCAATTGTTGGAAATATCCAACTACCTTGGCTATCAAGTAAGTCACACTTTTCAAAACTATGCTTAACTTATTAACCAAAATAGCAGAGAAGCCAGTGAAGAATATTCTTGGATTTTAGAAACCACTGAGTTTTTTTTTTTATTTTTATTTTTATTTCTAGCTGGTCGAAAGTAGACTTCCAGTTAAATTTGGCAGTAAAACAAATTATTAACTCACAAAATAATTGCTTATGGCTTTATTGGCATTTTAACTGTAACTTCCTGTTTTTTTTGTTAAATTAATATTGATAAAAAACTAATATTTTTATCAATTCAATTGGACTTTTATTTATATTTTTAGTCCCTTATAGAATGTTTGATGCTCACTAAACCTGAGAAATTCTCTAATTTTATATTAAAACCAACTAATTAATCCTTTAAATTCTAACAGTTAAAGTAACAGTGTTTTATTCATTTTAATGCAATTTCAAACTATAGCTATTCAAGTTAAAATAACAGTTTCTAATGGGTAACTTTCTTACTTTTAGTTGATTTTTTTTTTATAATTAAATGACTACTATATATATATATATATACTCGTGTATAAGCTGACTTCATGCATACTGCAATTGGTCAATAAAATGCATGATTTTTAACCTTGTCAAAAAAAATTACTTGTGTATAATGTGACCTAAGAAAAAAACTGATAATAAAAATTCCCATTATACTCCAGTATATACAGTAATTTTTTTTCTTTGATTGTACAAGTCTTACTTGCCAATTATGTTTCTTGTTTCTAGCATTTACTAATTTGGCTAAATTACTGCAAACAAATAACACTGAATTTGAACAGGTTTTAAGTTTCAAGACATGCAAGAATTTCCTCAGAGTTATTATTATTTTTTTAATCATTTCACCCCAAGTATGGCAGTAAAGCCACTAAGACATAATGAGTTACTAAGTATTAAAGATTATGATGAAAAAAATTATTAAGGAGAGAGCAATAAAAGAACAAGAATTAAGAAGTTATTAATTATTCTCTATTGCAGGTGATCATGCAAGATAATCCCATGATTAAATGTAGTGATGATGATATTAGTAACAGAATCAAATAAAATAAATGAGTGGGGGAGGGGAATGATGCTAAGATTCCATTTTTCAATTACTTGTAACTTTCAATTTGCTAAACTGAAAAAAATAGCTGAACTTGGTCTAAGCATCAAATACTTTTTTATTTATTTACTAGCAGCATGGCCTGGCATTGCCTGTGCTTGATTCAAAAATCGTACAATTCATACAGCAATCGCTATCACTTGACTTAAAATATTTTTGCCCTTCCTTGCCTTTAAAGGAGTGCCCTTTGCTGTGCTGATGTTGCTACATGCTTTACTTCTTGCCTATCTCACACTGCAAATTTTTTCTAAGCTCTATACTAAACATTAAAAGAAAAAAAGAACTAAACAAAATGAACACAAAACGATCAGCTTTAAAAAAGGATTCGTAACTTGAAAAACCGAATGAAAAAAGAATGTTAACAACAAATACTTTTTCCCACCCAACCCAGTTCTGTGGAATCAGAATCAACGTTGAGTTTAAGCAAGTTTAATGAGCCAATTGGAGTAAAAGTGCCATGCAGATTTAGATTTTTCCCACTTGTGACTAATGCAGCTATCGATTTTTTTTTTTTTTTTTTGCATGCTAGCATGCTAGTTAACATTCGTGTCAGTCAGCTCTTGGCTCTCACGCTGGCCAATAGAATCTTCCTGCCTATTTGTGGCAGCCAGCTATAGGCTCTCACTCTGGCCAGTACAAAATGGCCATAAACTACATGAAAACTGCCATAGAAGCATAAAAAAATCAATTATTTTCACTATCGATGGGAGTTGGGAAATGCAAAGTTGGTCTTGGCCTTCCCACTAACTTGGAGCATGTGCATGTAAATTTTGGTGCAAATCCATCAAATCCATGCATTTGTTACACACACACACACACACACATCCTGCCTTTTATAGATAGACATTAAAACATGTAAAAAGTTGTACTGATTTCTTTAAATGAAGCATTATGATTATTAGTTGTTGACTAGTTTTTCTCTTTATTGCAATGCTGAGTTTATTCTTTCATATTCTCAGTAACTTAAATAAGCAACACAAATTGCAAATAAAGAATTTTTTAACTCTGTCTTGTAATCTTGAGCACATTACTGAGTTGGCAATAACAGTTCACCAACAAATGTCATTCAAAAGTAGTCACCTGTCATAAACAGGGGCAGTTTGATATTAATATTAGCTCAAGCTTCAGGGAGCTATCCCACCAAGCAGTACCTCTCCTTTTGTCATTACCTGGTGCCTGAGGTGTCTCCAAGAAGGGAAGTGCCGAGAGAACTTGATCAATTTTTGCAAGACTTCCCACATTAAACCTTGACTTTGTGTCATATTCTGTTGTGACACGGATGCACAGATGAATACCTACTTACATTCTTTATTATCTGTAGTTAATTCTTTTATTTTTTTTTTTTTTTTGCAACAATCTGTTGTGGTTCTGCTACTTTCTCAATGGTGTCAGCAAATACTGTGATTTTTAAGTGTACAAAGAAACTGCATTTGACTAATGTTGAAGTTTGTTTTGTTTTTTTTTTGTTTGTTTTTTGTCATAAGACAGCCACTCTTCATATGTGACACTCAAAATACCCCACTGCATTTTACACAATGAAAGTCTGGCTTGACATCTATGAATAGTTTAATAATCCATACAACTTTTAGGGTGAAATATCTCCCCAAATTCCAGGTTGAAATTAGGGTACACCCTATATACTACAAATATAATTTCTTTTTTGTGTTGCAACTTAATTTTTCACTCAAAGAGTTCAGATTTTAGTAAAAAATGAACTGAGCAAAAAATTTTAAGTGCGTCTTCTGTCCACTGTAAAAGCCAAAAGTGTGCGTCTTCAGTCCACTGCAAAAAATATCTACATTTGTATCATATTTTTACTTTTCATCAGTGAACTGCAGATTTATAACTGAAAACTAAACCAATCCTCTTTTAAAATGAATTCAGAAGAAACATTTTCTTTTTAAAAATAAACAACAAATTCTCCAGTTCATTCTCTTTTTTTTTTCTCTCTTTTCCACTGAAAAGCTTTATTTATATATATATGTTAAAATTTACAATATTATTATTATTATTTTTTTTTTGGTGGGGGGAGAAATCTAAGATGTTTTGATTACAATTATAAATTGTGACATCGAATTTTCTTTTTGATTACCAGGCTTTATAATCGAACATTTTATAAAATAAAACAATGTTAACAATTTTAATTTTTGGTGGGTGGGGAAAGATGAACATTATCTTTTATTGGATTATATGAAAAAAGATCAACAATAAAAACAATTACAACCAAATGTATGCAAGAAAAATCTGACAGATTTTTTTTTCTTGTTTCTCTTTGATGAATGGAAAGAAAAATGTTTAAAAAAAAATCAAAAGGTGGGGATAATTTTATGTTATTTCTCATTTTATTTATATATATATATATATATATATATATATATATATAAACTTTATCAAATATTTGATTTATATCTAAATAGTTAAAAATAAGTCATAATAGTAAACAAAAAACTTGTTTGTATTATTATTTTGTTAATTTTCATAGATTTTTTTTGCATAGATTTTTTTGCTTTCATTTTCCTTCATATAAAGGGGTGCTGAAAAATTCTCGGCCTGAAATTGGTATTCTGATGTTTGGTCATTAAAATACTGATTGGAGGGGGGGGGGTAATAGGTTGGCCCTGAGGACTATTCAGCACCTCCTCCAATATAATAAAGTGATTTTGGATTCTGTTGTCCTCATTGACCATCTGTCCTTGGTTCTTTGGTAGGTTTCTGAATACTGATTAATTTCTTTTCTTTTCTCCTTTTCTTCCTCTTCCAACATATTTTCTTTTTGACTTGACCAATTGGCATTTGTTTAATATCACTTGATTTCATTTTCTTCACTTTATCCTCTTATTTCTGCTTGTTCACCACAGCATAAATTGGTTCCTACAAAAAAAAAAAAAAAATAAAAGGCAAATCACAAAAAGATTGAACAATAAGAAAAATTAATTAATTTTTTATGTAATTTTATTAATACTTTATTATTTCCTATTTACTTTGCATTTGAATTTACAAATTAAATTAAAATGTATCAAAGATTCATCCATCATTTATTAAACAATGAACATGAATGATGTAGATAACTCTGGACTTAAAATTAAAAAAAAAAAAAATTAGTCTGCCACAAGGTCAAGTCAGATAAAGGAAATATTCCTTTAGAGAAAGTATTTCAATTCAAGGTTAAGAATAGCTAAGAAATTATTCCTTATTTTCTTATTGTTTAATTAAAAGCAAAACAAAATGTTAAGTAAACTTAAATGAACTGAATAATTGACTGTTTGATGTTTGAGTCTTGGAAAAAGGTCATGGTTTCAATGCAGTGAGAATCTATGAAATAAATGGGGTAATGTTGCCAAAGGTTATTTTGTTTTGCTATATTTTGAAGAAGGGAGACAATCATAAAGCCATGGTGTGGTTGCTAGAAAACAAAATTCAGGAATTAGAACATACAACAATAAACATTCAATTATTACAATGTCTGTCTCCAAACATAAACAATAATGAACCTGATGATGAGGAAATCAAGAAAGTTATAAAAAAAAAAGCTAAAGAATAATAAAAAATCACTTGGCATTGAAGTTGAACTTCTGAAAATAGTGTCCACTCTCCCCAAATTTAAATAATACTTTTTAAATTTTGTGAAGAAAATCTGGAATCAGAAGCACATCCCCCAACATCTCACATTAATTCACTAAAAAAAACAAAAAGGTACCCCACCCTGACTCTCACACATAGAGGGGTATCTTAACTGGATCCAATATGGTGAAGATACTAATGAACATTGTATTAACTAGGCTGTCACCATTCTAGGAAAAATCAATTCCTCACAACCCAGTTTGGCTTTTGCTCTGGTAATGAGTGTAATCTTGGCATATGTCATCAATGTAGGATGCCATGCAGGAAATTGCTTACGTCTCCAATAGAAAATTATATAACTTCTATTTCGACCTCACAGCAGCATACATCCACATCAAGAGAGACTTCCTCTTCTCACCCCTTAGAAATTGCTTTCCAAGCTCTGCATCCCCTGAAGGTCTTGATCTGATAGAACTGTATTGGTCCACAAAGTTACACATGTTAGATGAGGACCCCAATACTGGAATATTTCAAACCTCATCTGAAGTATGACATGGTGGAAATGAGAGGCCCAATATATTTAATCTTTAGACTATACATGTACAGGTGCGAAAAGATGGCACTGATCACTTAATTATTGCCTACCATAAGCCAAATGAATTTACTAATAGGAAACTTTGTTCCTGCTCCAATTGGTCTTAAGGCAAATGGGCAGAGGATGAGGTGGGGTGGGAGATAGCTAGAGGGTTTAGTATTAATATTACCTGTTTTTTTTGTTTTTTTTTGTTTGTATTCAAAAATATTTGACAAAGAGTGAAGAAATCAAAAGCATTTTTTTCAAATAAGTTGCAAAATTACTTAAATATAACAATTCTTAAATAGGATACGTAAATTTAGTTTCTTATAAAAGAAACTTGGATTTTTAGTTGTTCAATTTAACTACAAAAATCCAAATTTGATTTACATTTTTAATTTATTAAACTTAAGTTGGGAAAGAAATGGGTGAATGGGAATGTTCAAGAAAAACAAAACAATCTCAATATGAATTGGAATCAAATATGGATTTGAGTCTGAGAGAATAAGAAGATAAAGAACAAATAGGAAATGGTAAATTGATAAACATTTGTTCTTTATCTTGTTATTACATCTTTAATAACTGATTAATATTTTATATAAATCTGAAATAACAAATATAACAGAAATTGATTTCTAACATTGTTTTGATCATTGCAGCAGCCATCCCCGTCTTGCACTTGTAGTCAGTATCTTTTTTTATGTCAGCTGAAACAACAAAAGCAAGTTATTCTTCTTGAATAAAGGTTTCCTACTAACTTTTCCATGTTCTGTGTGCAACACACTTTGTTTTTCGTTTCAACGTACCTTTCCTCCCCCAGAGTGTGGCAAAAATGACTTTCATAATTTTTTTCCTAAATTAAAGAAGGCAAGATTTACATTTCATGATTTTATAAAAATTTAGTTTAATCTGGCCAGATTCATGTTATCAAATTTCAAAGGAAAGGCCTACCTTAAAAACTCAGCTGAAATGTTGACTTAAAAAAACAAAACAAAATATAATGTGGATGGATATGCCAACAACTGATAGAGTAAGGAGCCTGCAATTATGAACCAGGTTCCTTGCTAATTAAGACCAATATAAGGAGCAAGAAATACTTGATTTTTTTTTTCTTGTGGCAGTCAAGATATTTACTAAATATAGGTTAGTCTAACCTAAGCGCCATGACAGTGAGGTGCATAGTGAGGATGAAACTTACTACATGAACAATCATGTGGCACATGAAGCTGTTTGTCATTGGTCTATTCTGAAAACATTTTTCATTTGACATTTTGATGACTTTACAAAAAAAATTTCATTTTTATTAAATTTGCTTGGAAGTTCTACTTTCAGATGCTATCAACAGCAAAAAAAAAAAGCATAATTCATGAGAATGCTAAGAAGTTCCTAATTATGACCAAGAAAGCAATAAAACAATTCTGATATTTGGTCAGGTTGAGAACTTTTTCCATGCTCTTATATTTCAATTCATACTTGTAATACTTGATTGTATGAATGTGTGTGCATGTATAATACAATTACTTAACTGGTGTGACATAATAATCCATATGAAACTAATGTGAACATAGTTTTAAGGTTGTCTGAATTTGAAAAATTGTTTTCATTATTCAAACTGTTGCATTGCTGCCAGGCTGTGCTGGCCCATTATGGGGATAAACAGGAAATTGCAATTTACAGGAAATAAATGACTGATGCGTATTTCTCATAGGCACTACCATTCTGGTTTTGATCAAATACTCTGCAGTACAGATTAAGCGAAATGACACTCCAATAAACAATATAATAAAAATACATCACAAAGCAGGTCATATTGTACACTTCTATATATCTACACCCGTTTGGTAATATCACTAAGCACTACATTTATAATGCAAACACTAGGGGTGGATATTTCACAATGTTTTGAAAAAAAAATATCTATATATATATGTGTGTGTGTGTATTTAGGCAGCAAATTCTCTTTTAGGCATGTGTGATTGAATAAATTATGGACAAAGAAAACTCGGTACACTATATAAAGGAACTACATACCTCCTGAATAACTTAAAAGATTTATAAATATTTCTGACTATGATTTAACTGATAACCAAAAAGAACTACTCAACCTTGTACCTAACTGCCATATATACAAAAAAATATAATGGACTACATAAAAAAGTTGAGATTGAAACATTATGCCAAAATATAATTAAATTCCAGGAACAGCAGCTAATTACCACAGAACCAGAAATCCATAATCTACTTAAAGCAGAATCTATAAAAGACAGACATGATATAAAGGAAAATTCATCTAAACTCCAAAATAAATCACTAAAAATTTCTGCACAAAAATTATGCAACCACCCAAAAATAGTAATTAAAAAAGCTGATAAAGCAAACATCTTTGTTGTTTTAAACAAGTCTAACTACAACTCAAAAATTGAACAGTTACTTGACGATCACACCAAATTTAGAAAACTTACTAATAATCCTACTGCTCGGCTAAAAGTGAAAATTAATAAATTAATCACAGCTAAAAATGCAGAACAAGACAATCTAAAATTTACCAAAATAATCAGACTATAAACCAGGATACATTTTATGGTTCTATTAAAACTAACTTTCCACTATTATATTCTAAATTCCCACTCCTCTCTACCAGCTAACTAAAATGCTTAACCAATTATTTACACCATGCATACTTAACAAATACAGCATTAAATCAACCCTTGAACTTATACAAATATTAAAAACTGAAAAACCTATTAATGAAACCATAGCATCACTTGATGTTGAAAATCTGTTCCAATTAGAGAAACAATTGACATTATTATTAAAAATATATATAATAATTCATCTCTACCCCCAATAAAAATTAAGCCAAAAATATTAAGAAAATTACTTTTAACCTGTACCACTGAAGTCCCATTTTATGATCACAAAAATAACATGTGTGCAACGTGATGGTATTTCAATGGGTTCAGTTCTGGGTCCAACCTTAAGCAACTTCTACATGGCCAACCTAGAAAATAATATTTAGTACCGCAAAAAAAACCAAAAAAAAAAAAACCTCCATCTATCTAAGATATGTAGATGATATACTTATTTTAGTTAAAAACATAGAAGAAATAATGGAACTCAAAAAACTCTGTCCTCAAGTTCACATACGGACTTAACAGAATCCCTTTGCTTGACATTTTAATCGACACAAATAACAACACATTTGCTACCTCTCCATGTAAAAAAATCAATCAGCAAAAACTCTTGCACTCAAGTATAAGAGTGAATGTCAAGATTACTAGAAAATGGCACTTGTACAGAATTTAATTAATGGAGCACAAATTAATTCCTCCACAAAAAAGATTTTCTACACTGAACTAAAATATATTAAGTAGACTCTCATTAATAATAACTTCCCAAACCACAAATGAACAGATAAGATGATATATAAAAAACCTCAACACACATCAAATAGAATACGGTACTTCCCCAAAGGATACAAAATATATCAAACTACTTTATTGTAACCAGATGCATGCTAACTATAAACAGGATGAAAAAATCATAAAGAATCTTATTTATATTAACATACCTTCTATGGATTCTAATAAAAAAATAAAATTAATCGTATATTATAAAAATACAATACAACCAATTTAATTATTCACAATAACTCCTCCCCACCAACTGATGTATTACATAAAACCAACATTATATACCAATTTAAATGTCCCTTCGAAGAATGTATTTCTGACAA